TGTGCGCAGCCGCAAAGGGGAAGGCTTTCCCAAGTCCCCATCTCCCTCCGCTTGCTTCTCTCGTCTAGACCATCGCTGTATTTCTTCTCCTCTCTCCACTTTGTGCCGCTCTCGTTGCTGCTGCCAGGCTCTTGGGATGGGAGTTTCGGCTGCAGAGGCAGGGTTGTGGGTCCTCCCGTGGTGCTGTGTTCTTGGGAATGAGGTGTCCCAGCTGTCCTCTGACCTGTGAGGCTGTGGGCAGCGTGCTCTGTGGGGCTGGAGAATGAGTTGGCTGACCCTTAACGAGGCGTCCTTGTCAGGACACTTGGCTCACACCCTGGGGTGTCCTTCCAAGCTCTGAGCTGCCCTCCAGGCAGATCTCTCCCACGGCGTCTGTGTGTTACCCGACGGACAAGTGCGGAGATGCTGCAAGTGGGGAAACTGCTCTGCAGGGGTTCCCTCTGCTCTCAGCAGGGTCTGGCTTCTTTTCAGGGTAACACACGAGTGCAAGCTCCCTCCATCTCAAAGCGGAGCAAGTACAGGGCAGCTGGGAGCAAGACCGACGGACAGACCAGCTCACCTCACCTGCACCTGAAATGCTGAAGATTTCCAGCTTCAGAGAAGACTCCCCAGGTGAGATGGGGCAGGGCAGAGAAGGGCTGTCCAAGACTAACAGTGAAAAAAAGTCTAAAACTCATTTTTTGCAACCAACTTTCTATGGGATTGGGGGTACAGATGCTGACAAGTCCTTCCGTGTGATTTCACCTGAGAAGCTCTAAGCACCAGGTCTGGCCCAATGCTGAAGATTTCCAGCTTCAGAGAAGACTCCCCAGGTGAGATGGGGCAGGGCAGAGAAGGGCTGTCCAAGACTAACAGTGAAAAAAAGTCTAAAACTCATTTTTTGCAACCAACTTTCTATGGGATTGGGGGTACAGATGCTGACAAGTCCTTCCGTGTGATTTCACCTGAGAAGCTCTAAGCACCAGGTCTGGCCCCTGCATTCCCTCCGCTCCCACGTACCCATCGAATAGAGCACAGCTGACACCTCAGGACCCCAGGGAGAGAGGCCCTGCTCCTCACAGCACACGTGGCCAGAATAAACCAGAGCTCCAGCCAGGGAGATGCATGAGGGTCCTGCCAAAAAGGAAAAAGGCTGTGTGTGTGTGGTGGAGGGAGGGTCTATGGGAAATGGCTTCGGTTTTGCACAGAATTCTGTCCTAACTTGCCAAGGTCTTCTCATCCTGTGACAGTGCCCTCATGTCCAGATGGAACAAATATCCAACGGCAGCTCCATCACTGAGTTCCTGCTCCTGGCGTTTGCAGACACGCGGGAGCTGCAGCTCCTGCACTTCTGGCTCTTCCTGGGCATCTACCTGGCTGCCCTCCTGGCCAACGGCCTCACCGTCGCCGCCGAAGCCTGCGACCACCGCCTCCACACCCCCATGTACTTCTTCCTCCTCAACCTCTCCCTCCTCGACCTGGGCTTCATCTCCACCACTGTCCCCAAATCCATGGCCAATTCCCTCTGGGACACCAGGGCCATCTCCTATGCAGGATGCGCTGCCCAGATCTTTCTGTTTCTCTTCTTCACTGGGGGAGAGTGTTCCCTTCTCACCATCATGGCCTACGACCGCTACCTTGCCATCTGCAAGCCCCTGTGCTACGGGACCCTGCTGGGCAGCAGGGCTTGTGTCCACCTGGCAGCGGCTGCCTGGGGCAGTGGGATGCTCAACGCTGCCCTGCACGCGGGCAACACCTTTTCACTACCGCTCTGCCAAGGCAACGCCCTGGACCAGTTCTTCTGTGAAATCCCCCAGATCCTCAAGCTCTCCTGCTCAGACTCCTACCTCAGGGAAGTTGGCCTTCTCGCGTTCAGTGCCTCTTTTGCTTTTGTGTGTTTTGTTTTCATCCTGCTGTCCTACGTGCAGATCTTCAGGGCCGTGCTGAGGATCCCCACCAAGCAGGGGCGGCACAAAGCCTTCTCCACGTGCCTCCCTCACCTGGCCGTGGTCTCCCTGTTCCTCAGCACCATAATGTTTGCCAACCTGAAGCCCCCCTCCATCTCCTCTCCATCCCTGGATCTGGTGGTGGCTGTGCTGTACACGGTGGTGCCTCCAGCAGCAAACCCCCTCATCTACAGCATGAGGAACCAGGAGCTCAAGGAGGCCCTGAAGAAATTGATTTCATAGACATTTTTAGCAGCTAAAACTCTCCATCTCTCCCCACAAATAATTCCCGTTGTATTCCTTACTAGGCCTGAACTTTGTTTATTCACTGTGTTACTCTTGTGGTTGTTATTTCTCCTACGCAAGTGTTTGGATTTGTCCCGCTACATCAGAGGCATGAACCTGCAGCGTCTCACCTGCAGACACAGAAAAGTGTGCCTGACTGTGGCTCAGAGCTGACTTTCTTATACCACCTCTGTAATAAAAAGTGATTTTTCAATGCGCACTGCCTGAAGGCTGGGTTCTTCCTCCAAACCTGGTGTCAAGAAGAACAGGTCCCAGAAAGGGCCGGTTGAGCCATGGATTTGGGAGCAAAAAGCCCATTGTGACCTCTTAGAGACCAAGGGTTGGATTTAGGACTACCTGTTGGTAGTCCAGTGACAGACAGTGAGTGCCACTGACGGACATACTCAGGGCTGTCCCGCTCCTGGCAGGCCCCTCTCAGGGCGGGGCGCCCAGCCACGAATCGGGAGGGCAATCCGAGAGCACAGGGGATCTCCAGGGACAGTTGTGCCCGGGGTGGGCAACGGATGGAGTCCCACAAGGTGAGAGATCACCCGCGGTGGAGTCATCCAAAGGGAAAGCACTAGATCCAGGTCTCCACAGGCAGATGAGGATTCTGCAGTCGCGGGAGAGGCAAGTGGGACCCCACAAGCATGGAGAAGGGAGGCTGGGGTGGGATTCAGGTCACCCTTAGCGAAGTATCTCCTAGAGGCACACCAGGACACATCTGGTGCCCCAGGAAATGGTCCACTGTCCCAAGCACCTTCCACCTCCCCAGACCGCAGGTATAAGCGATGAGCAGCAGTGATCCTCCTCTGGCTGGGTCTGCGTCCCACCCTGACCAGCACGACCAGGGTAGGGTCACCCTTTTGCCCTGAGCACCGCAGCTGCAGAGCAGCACCACCAGCTCAGGGTCCTGTGTGGAGCGTGGCTGGATACAGCACAAGTGGGATAGGGACTGATGAGATGGAAGCCGACATGGGCTGGAAACTCTTTTGAGAGAAAAATGCAAGCGTTGAACTAAACCAGGACAATGTGCAGGTACACTAAAACATGCTCATGGTACAGAGCTCAATGTCCTTGCTGTCCTGGTGCTCCACAGCGCCTGGGAAGTGGCTGAAGAAAGACAAGAGTCCCCCATTCCCCGCCTCTTCATGCTCTCGTTCCTTCCTCTGGGGAAATGGGAGCCTGGGGCCACGTGTCAGGGCTTGCACTGCAGGAAGCATGACCCAGGAGGCATGCCAGTTTTCTGCTGTCCCTCTGTCCCCAGCACACGCCCTTCAGACAGGCTCCCCCACGCCATCCAGTTTTGGGCCCCTCAATACAAGAAGGACATTGGGGTGCTGGAGCGTGTCCAGGGAAGGGCAACGGAGCTGGGGCAGGGTCTGGAGCACAGGGCTGGTGGGGAGCGGCTGAGGGAGCTGGGGGTGTTCAGCCTGGAGAAGAGGAGGCTGAGGGGAGACCTCATCGCTCTCTGCAGCTCCCTGAAAGGAGGTTGTGGTGAGGTGGGTGTTGGTCTCTTCTCCCATGTAGTTAGTGATAGGATGAGAGGAAATGGGCTCAAGCTGCGCCAGGGGAGGTTTAGGTTGGATATTAGGAAAAATTTCTTTACGGAAAGGGTGGTCAAGCATTGGACCAGGCTGCCCAGAGAGGTGGTGGAGTCCCCATCCCTGGAGGGGTTCAAAAAACGGGCAGAGGTGGCACTTGGGGACATGGTTTAGTGGGCACGGGGGTGTTGGGTTGATGGTTGGGCTGATGATCTTACAGGTCCTTTCCAAGCTTAATGATTCCTGGTTTTTACTTTCATTAAAAAATAGTCCAGCCCCCAAGGCAGGAAACAGGAAATTGCTACTCTACCCTTAATTGTTTTAGTGGTGGGCTTGGTAGTGCAGGTGAATGGTTGGACTGGATGATCTCAAAGGTCTTTTTAAAGGAATGATTCTACGATTCTGTGATTCTATGATTCTACGATTCTATTCTATGGCTGTACCA